TTAAGAATATTACATACTAATGGTATAATAATAAAGATATTTTGTGGTGGCATTGAATATATTTATATTTAATAAATAATTGGTTGAATATTTTAATTATTAAAACTTCAAAAATTTATTAATAGAACTATAAACTAAATAATTAATTGAATTGACAATAGTTTCTACGTTTGCATATTTTTTTTATTACATATACTCTCTGGATGAGATGGTCTAGGGAAATTGGTACTTTTACTTGACAATTCGATATGTTCCATATTAGAGTTAGGCTTTCGAATATTTGAGGTAAACGCTACCTAGACGGATTGACAATTAAATATATAATTGGGGGGTTTTTTTTTGAACCTCTCAAAATCATTACTATTACTATTACTATTTGCTATTAAAAGTAAAAACGATCATAAAATTGCTATATATAAAAATTATCTATTGGTGATACAGGACCCGGGTCCTCGATTATAGTAGCGTTGATTTTACCAAATTAAGCATAGTCGGTCCCTTGCTCTTTTTATTTTGTTTAATGTTACGTGCACAAAAGATCTGTTCGGACTAGAGCTTCGAATTAATTGAATATTCGAATCACATAATAATAATAGTAATAGTAATAGTAATAGTAATAGTAATAATAATAATAATAATAATAATAATAATAATAATAAACGATTCGAATATTCGGATTACATGAATTACTAAAATAGATGAACATGATGAATTTGCTAAGTTTGTTCCAATAATCAAGTTAAATTTTTATTATGAATTTAAATAAAAAAATGTATTGAAATTTTAAATTTAAACCTTTATATAAGTAGTATTCCATTACTGAACTTTCTACTTGATTCAAATTAAAATCATCAGGTATTTTGAATGTCCTTATTAATGTTTGGTTTTTTGGATTGGTGAAATGAACCTCATCTAAAATTTTTTTTAATATTGCTATTGTCTTCAATGTTCACATATAGTTTTAATAATAATTGGGGCATGCTGCATCACATGAAGCACTTTTGTCATGTTTAAAACCTCCAGTTAGAAAAAACATTGAAAAGGCATTAGTAATTTCTAGATCTGGACTTTGGAATCAACATCAAGGCCTTGATGCAATATTGGAAGAATTCAATAAATCATTAAAATCTATGATTCCTCCAGTACCTTCTCAACATCACTGGGAAATTGCAGCAAGAAATT